CAGCAGCAGCAGCAGCAGCAGCAGCAGCAGCAGCAGCCACCTCTATATCAGCAGCAGATGCAGCACATTCAGCAGCAGATAGCACCGAGTCTACGCTGCTGCCTCTTGAAGAAAGTCTGTTTGCTATGGCGATAGAAGTGGGGCTCAGCAGCAACGAGCTGCCGGTCCTAGAGCTGCTGCAGCAGCGGATGCTGCAGCAGCTGTCTTCTTCTTTTGCTCCCACCCCCAAATACACTGCAGCAGCAGAAGCAGCAGCAGCAAAACTACAAACCAACACACACACAAAGAAAACAGCAGCAGCAGCAACGGCAGCAAACAAGGCCACTGCAGCAGCACCGACTGCAGCAGCAACAACTCTAGATGCAGCAGCAGCATTAACAGCAACAGCAGCAACAGAAACAGCACCAGCAGCAAGCGCAGCAGCAGCGGCAAAAACAAAACGGGCAGACAGAGCAGCAGGGGGAAGACAGATGGTGCTGCAACCGAAGCAAAAGGCACACAGCGCAGACACCCAGAGACAAAGACAGAAGGAAGAAGCAGAACCGCAACGACAGCAGCAGCAGCAGCAGCAGCANCAGCAGCAGCAGCAGCAGCAGCAACCGCAGCAGCACCAACCACAGCAGCAAGGACACCGGCAGCAGCACAAGCAGCTCTCGCCAGAAGAAAGGCGGCACCAGCAGCAAGCCCCGCAGCAGCAACAGCATCAACTTCTGCTTGTGCAGCGACAGAAGCAGCAGCAAAAGCATGTGCAACAGCAGCAGCAGCAGCAAAAGCAGCCTGAGCAACAGCAGCACCAGCAGCAAAAGCCGCATGAGCAGCAGCAGCAGCAGCAGCAGCAGCAGCAGCAGCAGGAGGCATCCCCTCGTTGTCAGGCGGGCGGTGACAGCTGCACAGGCCCTCTCAGCGGACGACAAGAGCTGCCTTTGCAGCACCCACAGCAGCAGCAGCAGCTACTACAGCAGCAGCAGCAGCAGCAGCAGCAGCACACGCAGCATCCGCCTTTGCAGCAACTGCTGCATCACCCGCAGCAGCAGCAGCCGCCAGAGCTGCAGCAAACACAGCAGGCGCAGCAGCCGGAGCACCTGCTGCAGCACCCACAGGAGCAGCAGCTGCTGCAGCACCCACAGGAGCAGCAGCTGCTGCAGCACCCACAGGAGCAGCAGCTGCTGCAACACCCACAGGAGCAGCAGCTGCTGCAGCATCCGCAGCAAAGTGGGGGCGCCGGGCTGTTGTGCTGCAGCGGAGATTCTTTGAATGACAGAGCCACGAGCAGCAGCGACACCAGTGGAGGGACCTCTCCTTTGCTGCTGTCGTTGTCTTAGTCTGCTGCTGCTGTTCTTGCTGCTGCTGTTACTATAGCTGCTGCTGCTGCTGTTACTGTGGCTGCTGCTATTATGGCTGCTGCTGCTGTTGCTGCTGCTGCACCTGGAAAGAGCTAATAGCTAGCTAGTGAGCTTTTCAATAGCAGCAGCAGAAGCAGCAGCAGCAGCAGCAGCAGCAGCAGCAGCAGAGGTGGAGTGTAACGGCAGCCACGTATCGCCTCCTCTCCATCTCGTATTTGTTTGTCTCCCCTCATATATCTCTTTCTGTTTGTTATTTTTTTATTGTTAATTTGTACTTCTTCTTGTGTATCTAGCATTTGTTTTTTTTTTCTTTTTGTTTGTCTCTGTTTCTGTGGCTTTGTTTCTTTTTGCTGCGGCGTCCTCTCTCCTGCTCTGCGGCTGCCGCTTCCTACTTGTCTTTGTTACCTTTCTTTTTTTTGTCTGTGTCTGTCTCTATGCATCTACCTGTCTCTCTGTCTCTGTGTTCCTTTCTCTATTCGTCTGTCTGCCTATCTGTCTCTGTGTGTTTCTGTCTCTATGCTTCTGTCTGTCTCCTCTCTCAGTATACTTCTGCCTCTGTGCTTCTGATCCTATATATATATATATATATATATATATATATATATATATATATATATATATATATGTGTGTGTGTGTGTATACATCTCGGTTTCTGTCTCTGTCTCTCTGTTTCTGTCTCTGTCTCTGTCTATCTGCCCGTCAGTTTGTGCCTTCTCTCTGTGTCTTTCTGTTTGTATTTCTCTTTTGCGTTTCTCTCTCCCTTTCTCCGTCTCTTCCTGTGTGTCTTTCTGTCTCTGTCTCTTTCCGTTTTTCTCTGCCTTTCTGTCTCTACCTATCCCTCCGCTCTTCTCTTGTCTTCTTTTTTTCTTCTCTGTTTTTCTCTCTCTCTGTACTCTTTTTCTGCCTCTCTCTTCCTGCCACTCTCGCTACATATATATATATATATATATATATATATATATATATATA